TTTATTATTTAAGAAAAATTATTATTAATCAAATTTACTTCTTCTTCTTGCCTTTTTTTGAATTTGTTTTTTGTTTCTTTACCTGAATTTTTAATGTTTTTTCTTTTACGCTTCTTTTAACTGGGGTTTTTTTACCGTTTTCGGAAAAAATCACTTGCTGTTGCAGACGAGAATTTTTTCATTTGCATTCTGTTATCTTCACATGGTATAAAAGAATGGTATTGTGAAGTACCAGGTTTAGTCTCTGCATTGTTAAATCTTATTTTCAACATTTCTGTCGTTGAAGCATGAGTCTCCTTATTTTTAAAAAAATTTAAGTTTCTTTGCAACTTTTTTTTGGCCAGTTAAACAGATTTTCTGCAGTAAAAATATGTTGCTTTTCAGATGGGGCAAAACAGCATTTTAAAAATAAAAATTAACTAGCAAATCTTCAAGCTCATATAAAATATTTTTCCATTCCTGCTGAATGGCATTACCATGTCACTGCCCATGGTAAAAGTGCCTGCGATGGCATTGGAGCCAATATAAAGAGAGGAGCTGCTCGTGCAAGTCTACAATCAAGTTCACAGCAACATATTCTTACAGCAGAAAATCTGTTTCACTGGGCAAAAATAAGTTGCAAAGAAACTTAAATGTTTTTTAAAAATAAGGAGACTTATGCTTCAACGACAGAAATGTTGAAAATAAGATTTAACAATGCAGTGACCATACCTGGTATATTTCAATACCATTCTTTTATACCATGTGAAGATAACAGAATGCAATTGAAAAAATTCTCGTCTGCAACAGCAAGTGATCATATTGTGACGAGAGGACCTCTAGTGTCCCAGCGACCGCGTCGACAAGCTTGCAATTGCAAAAGAGCATTTTAAAGCATTAACGGCAGCAGGAAAGTGTCGACCGTCGAGAGCAAGCTATGCTTCTCCCATCCACATGGTCCAAAAAAGTGATGGTCAGTGGAGAGTTTGCGGAGACTATAGGCTTCTTAACACTGGAACTGTTCCGAATAAATTTCCGATACCGTACTTGCATGACTTTACAACTAATTTATAAGGTGAAGATATTTTTACTTGCACGCGGCTTACCACCCAATTCGTTACGGACATGGCCTTGAACATATGCCAGATATGACTATCAGCGCTCCATGTGGCGAAATTAAAAAAGGGAAGGCTTTAGCGATGATTCACGTTGTCATGGTGGAAGAATTTAGAGTTAATGGGTCAAATCATGCCTAAAAAAAATATTAGAACAGTAAAATTTCTAAAAAAAATATATGAAATTTAAAAAAATTTGTTTAAAATAATTGTTTATAACAATTATTTTTTAATGTAAATAAAATGGATGTATCCTTAAAACAAAGTTTAAATCATTTGGATAGTTTATCAATTGTTTTTGTTGTTACATTTCGTAAAAAAAAAATTTTAAGAATTCAATAAATATGTGTTATTTGTTTATTTAAAAATATAAATAATTAATAATTAAGCAATAAAAACGACCAGACTTGTCTTATATTTATCACTGATCATTAGCAAAGAGGAAATATTCAATTTTGTTAAGATTTACGGGCTATTAGTAGTTTTGAACAGCAACTTGCATACCACGACTAGCATTGAAAGCGCAGTTCTCCGCTGCGCGAAAAGACAAAAAATTCAATATCTCGGAAAGTTTAAGAGTCTCCATCGATTTTTTTTATGAAAATACTCGTGAGATCCTAAAGAATCGAAATATCAGTATTAGAAAAAAAATTAAAAATACGCTTATCAAAGAAAAATTTGTTTAAACAATAATTTTTAATTTTTTTTGTTTAAAAAAAAATTATTTTTTTTTGAACATTTTTTTCTAAATTGTTAGCTAATAATACGTATTCCCTGAAAAAATCATTAAAATCGATTCGTTTTTCTTTGAGATACAAATTTTTCAAAATTTCAAAAAAAATTTTAAAAGTCCTGTAAATCCCAAAATTTTCAAAAATCGCTTTTGGACTTTTCATTAGCATGTATTTCACTACATTTTCCCAAAGTTTCATCGAAATCGAAAACCTATGAGACAACTTTGATTTTTTAGACATGATTTGACCCATTAACTCTAAATTCTTCCACCATGACAACGTGAATCATCGCTAAAGGCTTCCCTTTTTTAATTGTTTCTGGGCGAAATTCAATTTCATGGTTTATTGCAGCAAACCTCGTTTTTATTATAACATTCATATTATTTACATTGATTACTATTGATCTGTCATTATCGTTGTCCAACGAAAATTGACTAATTTCGCCACATGGAGCGCTGATAGTCATATCCGGCATATGTTCAAGGCCATGTCCGTAACGAATTGGGTGGTAAGCCGCGTGCAAGTAAAAATATCTTCACCTTATAAATTAGTTGCAAAGGCATGCAAGTACGGTATCGGAAATTTGTTCGGAACAGTTCCAGTGTTAAGAAGCCTATAGTCTCCGCAAACTCTCCACTGACCATCACTTTTTTGGACCATGTGGATGGGAGAAGCATAGCTTGCTCTCGACGGTCGACACTTTCCTGCTGCCGTTAATGCTTTAAAATGCTCTTTTGCAATTGCAAGCTTGTCGGGCGGGAGTCGACGCGGTCGCTGGGACACTAGAGGTCCTCTCGTCACAATACGATGATAAACGCCATGCGTGGTGTGTAAATCTGCTTGAGTTAAATTAACTATTTCCGGATATCTATGTAATATATTATAAAATGGAATTGGCTTGTCGATTGAGCTGACGTCAGTGACTACAGCTTTCTTAAGATAACAATCGGTGTTATCACCCGAATTGCTTCGGTGATGATGTCCCTTGGAAAATTATGTTGTGGTTTCCTGGCAAATTCCAACCCTATGGCAGTACTGGACTCGAACCTTTGCACTTGGTTCACTTTAAAAATGTGTCCGTTGATAAGGCGGAGAGCGTGAAAATAAATTTTATTTAATTTTATTAAGCGGAAAACTGTTATTGCCACAGGCAGTGAAAACGATACACACCTGTTGCATGGGCTCAGAGTGTACTGCCCATGCGCCGTTTTGCAAAGCGTTATATTCAAAAAAATTTTTCAGCTCACCAGGAAGTAAAAAAAACTGATGTCAGGAATGGTTAGTATGTATCCATCAATGACGAACAAGGACATCCGTGACCTCCGAGAAGTCTGGAAATTTGGTTATGTCCTTGAAATTTGTCCTAGAAGGCGTCCGATGTTGGCCGACACCAGACTGTGAATGTTTCAAAAAATGAGCACAAACTGGAGTGAATTAAAACTTGATCCTTTTGTAAAAATGATATGAAAAAAATATGTGAAAACACGATGTCGTTCCCACTGGTGTACAATGGCGTGGCGTCTCTTGAGAAAAAAAACGTGTTCCGAAATTCTTCACTTTTTTTAGTCCAAATATTCACATTTTCCCCAAACTTTTTATAACCTCATGTTCCGAGGATTTTTAAAAAAAATTTCACTGAACACTTTCACTGCAATTGTTTAAGATGACTGCGATTTTCGTTGATTTTTTTATACGTCCACGCGTGCGATTTATATCACGTCGGGGTCGCCAATGTGGGATATTGATTAATAAAAAAAATAAGTTATTTATTGTTCAAAAGGAAGCCTCACTATATTCACCGTGGTACAAATAAATAAATGAAATAAAGTTATTAACATTAAAAACGATTTATTTAAAATATATATATCTACGCAACATGTGCGTGATTAATCAGTTGTGGTTCTAGACGCAACTGAAAAGTATGCGCGAACATTCTTAATAATATATTTAAATGTCTCGAACACTGACATCTGTCGGTGAACTTCATTAACTTGCGATTTGCTGTCGGTATATACTGTTCCAGTATACATTGTTTTATAACTATTAATCATTCAATTTTAATAATTATTCAATCATAATTTCACTTTCTAATAATATAATTACATTTTTATACTTTTTTTATTACTTTTTACTTATTATTTCTCTATATTTACTTTTCTTTTTATTTATATACAGACAAAATCTTTACCAGTTTCATAAAAATATACTCTACTTTAAATTATTTTTTTCACATATTTTTCAATAATCCAATATAAATAGGGTATCTATTGATTCGTAAACATTTTTTCTATACATTCTAATACCTACCTAACTTTATTTTTATATTTAAACTCAAATTTCCCCAATAGTAAGGGCCCATACTTAAATTACCTAATGCTTTTCTTTAGAAATTTGAATTCCCTCCTCCCGTTTATCTCATTTTTGTATACATTTGCGCAATTTTTTGCTGTGTGTTACAAATAAGACCTAAATAGAATAGATTCTTAACCGGGACGCAATCGTAAACGGAAACGTAAGTATGATAAGAAAAGGATAGCAAATATCTTTATTCTTCTCTCACACATTCTTACGTTTCCGTTTACGATTGCGTTCTCGCTCAAGTATCTATTCTGCTTTGGCCTATAGCTTAACCCCCCTCCCCAATGAATCATTACGTAATTTAAGTATGCTCCTTAAAATTATTATACTTATGGATTATAATTATTAAATTATTATACATAGACTTACTTTACGCTAACCGAGACTTAAAAAGTTTTTTAAGTCGTTTTTCTGAAAAAGCTCTCGATGAAATATTTTGGTTCATAGATTTTTTAATCTACGAACATAATACTTTCAAAATCAAAAAAAAAATTTTAATGTTTTGACTTTTGGGTTTAATTTTTCAGGCGCACCGTGAGTTACAAGTCTTCAGAAATTCACTGTTTAAATTTTCCAAACAAATTCAACCCTCTCCCATTCCTACAGTTTTTGAAAAAACCTAACAATACTTCGTGGTTAAAGAACTCACTTCTAGGGCTAAACTATGTGGAATTTATAGCACGATTCGATCAACTTTATTTCTCATACAATTAGTACGCTACAGGAATTTTACCCCACATATATTATTTTATGTTAATTTGAAGTATTTTTATAACCATATTTGACTGCATTTGACATATTTGATAATGTTTAGTGGGTGAATGGTGCTTTAGTAACGAACCACGAGATGGGTCACTTACCATTTGAAGCTGAAATCACTTCCTTTTTAATTTATGGAGGAAAAAACAAAATTACAGTAGTTGTTGATAATACTCTGCTGCAGACAAGTGTTCCTCAAGGGAAAATTGTTGACTCTTCTTCAGACTATGGCTCAGTTAAAGTACAAACGTACACTTTTGACTTCTTTAATTACGCAGGAATTCACAGGTAAGTTACTTTAAACTTTTTGTTACATTTCCCGAATCGTACCTTTCACCCTGAAAAAGTTAAATTTATTTTTGAGTTTAATTAGTCAAGTTACTAAATCACTTCACGTGTAATCCCCAATATATTATAGAGCCATTCTCTACCAAAGGGACACCCCCTAATGCCCAAAATTTGTTTGATATTAAAAAATCATACGATTAATGAAATTGTAGCTTAAGATGTCTAGTTTCATTTGACGTTTGGCGTTTTTAAAAATATAAATATCGACGATAAATATGACGCACGGAATACAAAAATGCAAACAAAAAAATATAATTGTTGTTGTCAAATCTTCAAAAATTAGTTGAATTATTCAGACAAGGTATGTTAATTACTTATGGGGGTCACCCCTAGCGGATAGGTCCAACGCGTTTTGAACGGAAAAGCGTTGAAAAAACGTTGGGAACACAATGCTCACTAGAAATGTTATTTAAACAATAAAATATGATCAAGTATTTATTGGGATTTGTAGAAAAAGTGTTAACAAGTAATTTAAGACCTTATTTGTATCAAATTAATACGAAAGAAGTGGAATAAAAGATAAAATATGAAGCACTTTCATATTACCCTACTGAAAATCCCTGTACATGATCTTGTACAATTCCATGTATGACTACTTGTACATGAACACGTCCATGTTCTTGCACATGTTTATTCATGTTTTTCTTTACTAAAAATTAAAAACTTCAAAGGCTGCGCAATAGTTTACTTTAACCTTTACAGCTGCGCAATAGTTTTTAGCATGCATGAGTTACGAATCTTAGTGGTTAAAAATTATCAAAATCTCAAATTTTATTAAAAAAAAAATTTTTACAACTATACATGTGCAAGAACATGAACGTGTTCATGTACAAGTACTTATACATGAAATTGTACAAGATCATGTACAAGTATCTTTCTTGTACAAGATCTCACACATGAACTTGTTCCAAATTCGTATGCATTTTCCTGTACAGTAATTGGTCAGAACTTGTACAAGTTCAGTTGCTAATCCTGTACAGGAAATTGTACAAGATCTTATACAGGGATTTTCAGTAGGGTAGTGTATTCTGTCAAATTTTTATATAATTCAATGAAAAGAGTTCTAGATATGGTTTTTTAATAATAGAAAAACAGTGAAAAAGTATTAATTTATTATTTTAAAGAATTTAAAAGGGTAATAATAGTGAAAATTAATGTGTTTATTGTGTACTTTTTGTGTGCTTCGGACAGCGTTTATCGACAGCGAGTTACAGGTTACTTCGGTGAACGCCAGATGGAAGCACAGTAAACCATTAATAAGACTTTGACAAGCAAAATATTTAACCCACTGAAAGTCGATGATGCATCTAGACACGAATACAAAAAATGACAAAACTTATTGAATATTCCTAAAACACAGTGAATACCATATAACGGATCGAAAAAATTAAACTTTAATCAAGTTCTCTGGAATCTCGTTACTCGGGGGTTCTTTTCGTCGCTGATTACGAATATAATAACAGATTTCCAAAATTCAAAATGGCGGATATAATATGGCGTATCAAAAAATTAAACATTAATCTAATTCTTTCAAAGCTCGTTACTAAGGGGTTTTTTGGGTCGATGATTACGAATCTGATATTAGATTTACAAAATGACAGATGCAATATGGCGGATCAAAAAAATTAAACATTAATCGTATTCTCTGGAAGCTCGTTACTCGGGGATTTTACGGATCGCTGATTACGAATCTGATATTAGATTCTCAAAATTCAAAATGGCAGATCAAAAAATTGTATTAATGTTTTTATATTTATCAAATTAAATAAAAGTTTAAAGGTTGTTTTCAGTATTTAGGCTTTTTTGTTTATTTTGATTTTCTTATGTTGACTAAACATGTAAAATACATGTTATTAATAAACAGTGAGCAAAAGGTTATTGAATAAACAACAAAACTTAAATTGAAACTATTTTATTTTTTAAGACATTATTTTCCACAATCGTGCATAAAATATCAGTACAAAGATAATAAGTATAAATGTTGATCAATTGTTTTTTTTCTGCTTATTATAAAATACGTTTAAAGTTTTTAAAAATCTTCAGAAAATTTCTTTTTAAAAAAAGGAATTTTTATATTACAGGTACAAGCATAGCCCTTTCGGGTACCTGACTTTTATTTGTAAAGCCGATCATTTATCCTCTCTTCTGAAAATAGCGTTAATTTTTCTCTACACAGAAAACTACAAACTTTAAAATAAGTTTAACCAGACTCAATTTAAAGTGCAACAAAAATGAGCCAATGCTAAACGGCATAGAATGCTGTGGTATCTCATTGACCTATATTTGTTACACTTCAAACTGGGTCTGAATTCAACTCATTCCCTTGTCGCACCCCCCCCCCTAGCACCACAAGTTGCAGCAACCTTGCAGAAACTTTACATGGTAAGGTTCACAACCTTTATGAAACTTTTCAGACCTTGGTAAAAGATTGCTGCAATGTTGCAGCAACTGGAAAATATCCGTGCAGAGAAAGGTGTTTGCAAGGCAATGAAGTTGCTGCAAGGTGTGATCAACCTTGCCTGAGTGTTTTAAGGTTGCTGCAAGGTCGGTGGGAAGGTTGCGAAAATGTTTTACAGGGTTGCTGCAAGGTTGCTACAAATTTGAGAATAAAGTTGATAAAACGTTTCGCAAGATTGTTTAGAAATTATCAGAAGATTTTGCAAAGTCTTTCCAAGGTTTTTGCACCGATAATTCCCTGAAGCTTCACTGAATGTGTTTATGTTACCTTGGTAAAGTTCCATCTCCGTGTTCAGAAAAGATGGTTTAAATCTTTAAATGTCCGCATGTGAGCAAATGTTTAAGGCGAAACTTGACTGAATATGTAAATTACAATTTCGTTGAAGGTTCAAAATGAAAAAGGCTTAATATATGAACCGTTTTTGCAATAAGCAAAAAAAATTTTTTAAATAAATTTAATTTCTGGTTAAATAATAGTCTTCACTTATAAAAAATCGGATAAGTCCGAGTTACACTCGCATTAAAACCGAGGGTTCCGTACTCTTAAACTTAAAATTTAAAGGGGTTAAACATAGATTTGAAAATAAATTAATAAAACTAAAAAATAATTAAAATGTCAACAAATAAAAAATGTCAAAAGATAAAAAAAATAGCAAATGGTAAAAAATAGAAAATGGCAAATTATAAAGAATGGCAAAACACTACAAAAAAATATAGCAAGCACAATTGGAGTTTAAAAAAAAGAGTAGGAATTTGCCCCAAAAAAAGGAATAAAATTTTATCTTTCTGGGTCAAAAATTGTAAAACTTAAGGAAAAAGTCCACTTTTTAAAAAAATTGTATGTTTTGAAAAAACTCAATTAAAATAATTGCCTATCATGTTTATTAAATTTTTACTATAATCTGCACTCAAAAATACGTAAAAGTGTATAAATTTCAAGCTCTTTAGATAAAATTTTCTTCATTTTTTGAGGAAAATTCATGATTTTTATCGAAAATTATCAGTTTTTCCTTGAAAACGCTATGATAATCAACTCCAATCGTTCTCGATATATTTTTTTGTAATCTACATGCAAAAATACATAAAAAAGTATAAATTTGGATCTCTTAGGATAAAATTTTCTTCTTTTTTTATTCGAAAAATCCATGATTTTTTCTAAAAATATGAGTTTTCCTTAAAAACAATATGATCATCAACTCCAATCGTGCTTGCTATATTTTTCCTGTAATCTACACGCAAAAATACGTAAGTATACCAAATATGAACTGTCTTGGTCAAATAGTGTGTGCGCTAGGTGGATTAAACGCTTTTTTTCAAAATTTTTGATTTTTCCTTGACAACGCTATGTAAATTGATCTGAATCATGTTCGCTATATTTTTCCTGTAATTTTCACGTAAAAATACATAAGTGTACCAAATTTGAGCTCTCTATGTAAAAAGATGTGGCAACCAGGGGGGGGTACATAGTCATTTTCAGGGATTTTTCGTAAAAATTCATGGTTTTTCCTTGACAACGCTATGATAATCAATTCCTATGAGATTCGCTATATTTTTCCTGTAATCTACACGCCAAAATACATATGTATACCAAATTTCAGCCCTCTAGATAAATTCGTGTGGCCGCTAGGGGGGGGGGTACATGCCTTGCTTCACTAGTCTCATTAATAGGGTTCCCCCTTCGGGTACGGAACCCTAAAAAGAATAAAATAATATAATTATAATTAAAAATTGAAATAAGTAAACATTTAATTATTATCATCCATTTATTGGCACGGATATATTACAAATAAAAACAATTATGTACACGCAGATAAAAATAAAACGTTTGTAGCATGAAAGTTCTACCTTTAAACGCATGGGACATTAGCATACTACGATTGCAAAAAAGTTATGCTTTTTCGGTATAGTTTTATGCAACTGTAGTAAAATGCCACGTTTCTTCAGCAGGAACGTCCATACAAAATTAACATAGAGGGCTCCCATACTACAAACGCTTGAACTTTCCCAAGGTAAACTAAAAACATTCAGTGAAATTCTCAAATTTGTAGCAACCATGCAATATTTTCCAGTTGCTGCAACATCGCAACAATCTTTCACCAAGGTCTAAAAAGTTTCATCAAGGTTGTGAACCTTGTCATGTAAAGTTTCTGCAAGGTTTCTGCAACTTGTGGAGAAAGTATCATTTTCACACAAATTATTTTGCAAAAGTGTTATATTTTACAAAAGGCAATATTTGTTATATTGTAATTAAGATAAATAAAGTAATTACATTTTACAAATATTAAAGATTTGAAAACGTTAATTTGTACGTACGTAAAATTGAAAAAGATACATTTCACAAAACGAACATGTACAAAATACAATTTATAACACATACCGTACATAACAATAGTCACACTAATAGAAAAACACACATTTGTCATTCAAATTAAATATGGAAGAGTAGTATTAGTTTCATCATGTAATATACATATGAGGCAAAA